GTTTGTTGCTATTGCTTTCTTCATGACTTATACATGTTCCTATGACTATGAGATTATGCAACTCCCGTTTACCGGAGGAACACTTTGTGTGCTACCAAACGTCACAACGTAACTGGGTGATTATAAAGGTGCTCTACAGGTGTCTCCGGAGGTACTTGTTGGGTTGGCATATTTCGTGATTAGGATTTATCACTCCGATTGTCGGAGAGGTATCTCTGGGCCCTCTCGGTAATGCACATCACATAAGCCTTGCAAGCATTGCAACTAATAAGTTAGTTGCGGGATGATGTATTACGGAACGAGTAAAGAGACTTGCCGGTAACGAGATTGAACTAGGTATTGAGATACCGACGATCAAATCTCGGGCAAGTAACATACCGATGACAAAGGGAACAACGTATGTTGTTATGCGGTCTGACCGATAAAAGATCTTCGTAGAATATGTGGGAGCCAATATGAGCATCTAGGTTCCGCTATTGGTTATTGACCGAAGACGTGTCTCGGTCATGTCTACATTATTCTCGAACCCGTAGGGTCCGCACGCTTAACGTTACGATGGCAGTTTCATTATGAGTTTATATATTTTGATGCACCGAAGGTTGTTCTGAGTCCCGGATATGATCACGGACATGACGAGGAGTCTCGAAATGGTCGAGACATAAAGATCGATATATTGGACGGCTATATTCGGACACCGGAAGTGTTTCGGGTGATTTCGGAGAAAACTGGAGTGCCGGAAGGGTTACCGGAACCCCCCGGGGAAGTATTGGGCCTTAGTGGGCCTGAGGGGAGAGAAAGGGCAGCAGCCTAGGAGGTGGCGCGCCCCCTCCCATGGGGAGTCCGAATTGGACTAGGGGAGGGGGGCGCGGCCCCTCTTTCCCTCTCCCTCTCCCTCTCTTTCCTTCCCCCTTCCCTCTTCCTAGTTGGACTAGGAAAGGGGAGTCCTACTCCTACTAGGAGGAGGATTCCCCCCTCCTTGGCGCGCCTCAAGGGCCGGCCGGCCTCCCCCCTTGCTCCTTTATATACAGGGGTAGGGGGCACCTCTAGACACACAAGTTGATCTTCGTGATTGTTCTCTTAGCCGTGTGCGGTGCCCACCTCCACCATTATCCTTGATAATATTGTAGCGGTGCTTAGGCAAAGCCCTGCGATGGTAGAACATCAAGATCGTCACCACGCCGTCGTGCTGACGGAACTCTTCCCCGACACTTTGCTGGATCGGAGTCCGAGGATCGTCATCGAGCTGAACATGTGCTAGAACTCAGAGGTGCCGTAGTTTCGGTGCTTGATCGGTCGGGCCGTGAAGACGTACGACTACATCAACCGTGTTGTGCTAACGCTTTCGCTTCCGGTCTACGAGGGTATGTAGACAACACTCTCCCCTCTCGTTGCTATGCATCACCATGATCTTGCGTGTGCGTAGGATTTTATTTTGAAATTACTACTTTCCCCAACAGTGGCATCTGAGCCAGGTTTTATGCGTAGATGTCATATGCACGAGTAGAACACAAGTGAGTTGTGGGTGATATAAGTCATACTGCTTACCAGCATGTCACACTTTGGTTTAGCGGTATTGTTGGATGAAGCGGCCCGGACCGACATTACGCGTACGCTTACGCGAGACTGGTTTTACCGTCGTGCTATGCACACAGGTGTCTAGCGGGTGTCAGTTTCTCCAACTTTAGTTGAACCGAGTGTGGCTACGCCCGGTCCTTGCGAAGGTTAAAACAGCACCAGCTTGAAAAACTATCGTTGTGGTTTTGATGCGTAGGTAAGAATGGTTCTTACTCAGCCCGTAACAGCCACGTAAAACTTGCAACTACAAAGTAGAGGACGTCTAACTTGTTTTTGCAGGGCATGTTGTGATGTGATATGGTCAAGATGTGATGAGATATAAGTTGTTGTATGAGATGATCATGTTTTGTTGAAGTTATCGGCAACTGGCAAAAGCCTTATGGTTATCTCTCTATTGCATAAGATGCAAGCGCCAAATAATTGCTTTACTTTATCGCTATGTGATAGCAATTGTTGGCGAGACGACCATGTGACGACACATTGATATAGATCAAGATGATGGAGATCATGGTGTCATGCCGGTGACGATGGAGATCATGACGATGCTTTGGAGATGGAGATCAAAGGCACAAGATGATGATGGCCATATCATGTCACACATTTTGATTGCATGTGATGTTTATCTGTTATACATCTTATTTTGCTTAGTTCGATGGTAGCTTTATAAGATGATCTCTCACTAATTATCAAGGTACAAGTGTTCTCCCTGAGTATGCACCGTTGCGGAAGTTCTTCGTGCTGAGACACCACGTGATGATCAGGTGTGATAGGCTCTACGTTCAAATACAACAGGTGCAAAACAGTTGCACACGCGGAATACTCAGGTTAAACTTGACGAGCCTAGCATATAACAGATATGGCCTCGGAACACGGAGACCAAAAGGTCGAGCGTGAATCATGTAGTAGATATGATCAACATAGTGATGTTCACCATTGAAACTACTCCATCCCACGTGATGATCGGACATGGTTTAGTTGATATGGATCACGTGATCACTTAGAAGATTAGAGGGATGTCTGTCTAAGTGGGAGTTCTTAAGTAATATGATTAATTGAACTTTAATTTATCATGAACTTAGTCCTGGTAGTATTAGCATATCTATGTTGTAGATCAAACGTCACAATGTAACTGGTAGTAATAAGATGCTCTACAGGTGTCTCCGATGGTGTCTGTTGAGTTGGCATAGATCGAGATTAGGATTTGTCATTCCATGTATTGGAGAGGTATCTCTGGGCCCTCTCGGTAATGCACATCACTATAATCCTTGCAAGCAATGTAACTGATGAGTTAGTTAGTTACGGGATGTAGCATTACAGAAACGAGTAAAGACCCTTGCCGGTAACGAGATTGAACTAGGTATTGAGATACCGACGATCGAATCTCGGGCAAGTAACATACCGATGACAAAGCGAACAACGTATGTTGTTATGCGGTTTGACCGATAAGGATCTTCGTAGAATATGTAGGAACCAATATGAGCATCCAGGTTCCGCTATTGTTTATTGACCGGAGATGAGTCTCGGTCATGTCTACATAGTTCTCAAACCCGGTGGGTCCGCACGCTTAACGTTCGATGATGATCGGTATTATGAGTTTATGTGTTTTGATGTACCGAAGGTGGTTCAGAGTCTCAGATGTGATCACGGACATGATGAGGAGTCTCGAAATGCTCGAGACATAAAGATTGATATATTGGACGGCTATATTCAGACACTGGAAGTGTTCCGGGTGGTTTCAGATAAAACCGGAGTGCCGGAGGGTTACCGGACCCCCCCCCCCCTCGGGGGGGAACTAATGGGCCTAGATGGTCCTTAGTGGAGAGAGAGAGGGGCGGCCAGGGCAAGCCGCGCGCCCCTCCCCCTTGAGTCCGAATTGGACTAGGAGGGGGCGGCGCCCCCCTTTTTCCTTCCCCTCTCCCACTCCTTCCTTCCCCCTCCTAGTAGGACTAGGAAAGGATGAATCCTACTCCTACTAGGAGGAGGATTCCTCCCCTCCTTGGGCGCCCCAAGGGCTGGCCGGCCTCCCCCCTTGCTCCTTTATATACGGGGGCAGGGGCACCCTAGAACACACAAGTTGACATTGTTTAGCCATGTGCGGTGCCCCCCTCCACCATAACCCACCTTGGTCATATTGTTGCAGTGCTTAGGCGAAGCACTGCGCCAGTAGCTTCATCATCACCGTCATCACGCCGTCGTGTTGAGGAAACTCTCCCTCGACACTCAGCTAGATCTAGAGTTCGCGGGACGTCGCCGAGCTGAATGTGTGCAGATCGCAAAGGTGTCATATCTTCGGTGCTAGGATCGGTCGGATCGTGAAGACATTCGACTACATCAACCGCGTTGTCATAACGCTTCCGCTTACGATCTACAAGGGTACGTGGACTATACTCTTCCCTCTCGTTGCTATGCATCACCTAGATAGATCTTGCGTGTGCGTAGGAATTTTTTTGAAATTACTACATTCCCCAACAACAGCATAGGTTGAGATTGTAAAAAAAAGTCAATAGAAATTTCGGTGAGGAGGGTGTGAGGTGGACCTACTAGGCAAGCTCATTTCCCGTGTGTTGCAATGAGGCATACATATTCTAGTGGTTCAACACCAATCATATCCAACATATATGTCACACCTAGTATATTCTAGATCTTGGTAAGAATTGATTTGTTTCGAGTTTGGATAGGAGAAGACTAGTAAAAATTTGATTTAGCTGAGGTTTTGGTAAGATTTGATCTGATATGGGCATGGGTAGAGGAAGGGAAGGAAAGTTTTGTTTTAGTTGAGATTTTGGAAATATTTTATTTGATTTAATTGAGTTAATGCAATATGTGAATTTGAGAAAAATACTGATTTGGGTTAGATTATTCAAAGTTACTCTATTACATTGGTTTTTATTTTGTGCGGCATTGGTTGAGATTACCAAAAAATCAAAGAAAACCAAGGAGAGCAGGAGTGTGGGGAGGAAAAAACTAGAAAGGGGGTGAAGAGAATCTACCAACTCCCCTTTAATAATACAGATAATAGTAGAGATGAAAGTGTGGACACTAATTTTGACTGGCTTGTTAATCTTTGGATACTGACCGTATTCCTTAGCTAGTTTAAAAGATATCTATGAATTAATAGGTCGATGTCAAATATATCACATTATGGATCCTTTGGATCGCGCAATTATCTTCTACTCCATACCAGACTTCTAAATTTAGATTTTGGTATCAATCTATTAAATGATTTTATCACCAAACAGGTGTATCAATAGATAAGTTGGTGAACAATAATGTCAAATTTTGGAAGATTTTAATTTTAATTGCCAGTTAAAACTAATATCTAGAATGCATCTAAATATATCATAACTGGATATTATATATACCAAGGTCAGCAACAGGTTTCCCCAAGATCATATCCTCATTGCATACATGTGCAACTAAGAAGCATGGCTTGTGTCGCACGCACTCTTTCCATTCCTTTCTTGCTTGCATTATTCTTCGTGGTACCTCTCTCTCTCTCTCAATATATATATAAACTGTTGATGGAAACATATGTTTAACCATGAGTTGCAATCATTTTTTTAGGCTGAGGTATCCGGGAGCATGAACGTAGAATCATACAAACCGGTATGTTTACTGTACTATTTCCATGGCGCTGGTGAAACAGCAAATAAGTCACAAGAATTATGTCGTACTTGTATCAAAACACTAATTTTGGTATTTGAATTTCTGATCTAGGCTGGTGCAGAAGGATCTGTTCCTTTAAAAGGTAACAAATCTGTCTACATTTGTCAAATCATTATACAACAAAATTCTAAGTCCATGCATGCCAATCATTATAAAGTCATTGTAAAATTAAGAAAACATTCTTCAAATATTCCACATAACATGAGCATTCTAGGAGGAAAGACATGGAACTTTTTTTGTTGAAGCATAAAAAGTAATATGCATGATCTTGTCATAATAATGTCAAATATAACTGCCATTCTTTATTTTTAATATGTTGCGCACGATGAACAGAATGCCCAGCGAAATGCAAGATCCGTTGCTCAGCTACGTCACACAAGAAACCATGCAATTTCTATTGTAACTACTGCTGCAAGAGGTGCCTGTGTGTTCCGTCCGGCACGGTGGGCAACAAGGAAGAATGCCCGTGCTACAACAACTTGAAGACCCAGGATGGCAAGCCTAAGTGCCCGTGATATGCCTGCAAGTCGTGTGTGGCCTCCAAGTTTTACAGTCTTGTTGTATCGAACAAAGTATTGATAATAAAGTTGACTTGTTTAATACAAGATTTGTGTTATTATTGGAGACAAAATAGGAGATAGGCCAAAATATCTTCATGAATTTATCATTCTATTTGTAGCAATCTATGTGTTGTTTGCTTGTCAGCCATACTTTGCCACACATCTTATAGACAAGTCTGGCAAGTTAGGTCACTGTCTGGTTCTAGCCACAGCATAGTCAAGTTCTTTTTCTTTCTTTATTTGGACAAATAAGCGCAATATGTACTTTTTTGTGGGTGACCCATATGCCATATGTACTTAAAACGTGTAAGAGGCAAATTTTGCAAATAATAATAATGATGGCAAACTAAAGCAAAGTTCCAACCAAACATGCCCTTAGCGCCTGTGCATTGCACGGCGGACTACATTTTTACCATCTATGAAGGCATACTGAAACAGAGGATGGATTAATATTGTTGCAGCGCGGGTGTGTGTGTTGTCATGCGGGAGAGGGGAGGGGTGCACCAAGTAGAGACATCGAAGATCCGAGCAACAAGTTGACATGCTATGTGCCTCCTTCGATAAAGCACACCCACAAAAGGGAAGCATCTAAAATGACGTGAAAATTTAATAGGGGGATACTGTCATTTTAGTTGGAAGAAAAGAAAATAATTGGGTTTACAAAACTTGGTGCGGTGATAAATTCTAGACTTGTATTTAACTTCATGGTATATCTTGCCTTAGACATCTCCAATAGATGATGTAAAAATGTTGTCGTGCACAAAAATTCATCGTTTAGGGCATTTTGGGCCAAAGGCCAGTAGATGTTGCAAAAAAAATTGGCCAGCCCCAACTGCTACAAATTTACAGCACCTCTGGAGGCTACCCAAAAGCCAAAACACCGTGGCGGAAACCCAACCGCCACGCTAAAACTTCCTTGCAGCCTGACTATTGCCTAATTCTGGTTGTTTCTCATTTTTTTTCCCACTCCGACAACCACCCTCGGCCTTGCCGCCACCCCACCGCTTGGTCGAGATGACCGCCATGACCCCATCGCCTCCATAAAAGATCTGAATATCATTATCGATCCTGACAGATTTTGGTGGTTCCCTCACCCATTCGCATATAATTATATCACCAATCGCATATAATTGTTATATTGAAAACAAATAGTGCAATACATACCAGGTGGATGAAACTAATTGCAGTTTTCTCATTCATCTTCCCGAAAACATTAAACAAAGCTAAAAGTTAGTTTGACAAGTTTAAAGTAAGTATCATGAAGCAAAAAAAAAACACATCATCAATGTGAGTGGTAGTAAACATATATTCGTCCACACTGTATATTAGACAATGACCCTCAGTGGATAATCAAAATTAGGCACCGGTCTAAGGTTCCTTGGTTAAATATCTTTGTGTAATCTCACCTTACTTCTTAGGATTTCTTATGTACTCTAATCAGTATACTCTTCCGATCAATCCAATCATAAGGCGGACCATCTGAGTTATTTTCTCTCTAATATAGGGCTTAGGGATACTACTTGCAGCAACGATATTTAATCTGTTGTCCACATTTACTCTTTCCAATCTGAATTAATTGATGCAACCTTTATACCCGCGTCATTTTTTCGTATTAGAGGGAGTAACATTATTTTTATACCTGGAAATGGAAGCACCATTATCCGAACCTGGTGGCTAGCGATTGATTTCTTTTTGAAAAGTATCTTGGATAACCTAGATCAATCAAAGTTTACGAAAATGCAGTTAGAAAACTAGGACAAAGATGATTAAAGCTCTATTTCTAGGCAGACTAGATTGAACATGCACAAGAGGGATCCGGAGAAGATGTGGTGATGTGATCTTAATACCTTGAATTCGGACTGGGATCTGCCTTTGCCAGCATGTCTCCGGTGGCCGAGCCATGGGTGAACAACTGAACGGGGAAGACGATACAGTTGTGGGGAGTCGCAGAGTTAGGAAGCAAATCAAGCGATCGAGTCAAATCACGGAAAACCCTATCCGCCGCTCACTGCGTCGTAATGTCGACCCTTTGCACAGGGATGCGCGAGCGAACGACGTACGTCTATGTTTATGTCTACATCTTTACAAACGTAAAGCTTACACGTACGTACATATACTCACCCTTATGAACAGGGGAGGTGCTAGTCCACAGCTGCTGGGTTCAGATGAACCCAATAAAATGTGAAACCTGAACTCATCAAAGGTCAATGCACAAGCACGAAGCCATTCAACCCGTTTAAAATATTCTAGCGTGATTAGCCCAAACAAAGGCCCACAAGTAAACTGACTGAATTGGATCGATTGATCTTTCGATTCCATGTCTCATACGCTCGCAGTGATTTGAGGACCTCCTATCTGCCGCTCGTTGCGGCAAATTGGCGAAGGATCGCACAGGCGGGGAGCGCGAGTGGGCCATCCCATTTGTGGTACTGTAGCGAGCAGTGTAAAATTCGCAAAAAGAAGCATGCAGTACCAGCGATCGAATTAGGGACCCCTCGCTACAAAATGCGTGTAGCTAGCCGCCCCACATGATGCCTGTTAGTGACTAATGGGCACCACAAATTTTTAAGAACTAACTACAACATCATATCCATATATTTTTCCACAAAAATCTGTACACTTTTCTAAATTTTGGAACTTGTTTTGGCAAACGTGATTATTTTAGAAAAAAATTGAACAAACGAGTTTGTGAACAATTTTTCAAAACATGAACAAATTTTGAAATTCCATACTTTTTTTGAATTTTCGAACACTATCTTAAAAACGTGAACAAAATTTGAAAACTTGAACAGAACTCCGACTTTCTATACGAAAAAGTGAACAAATTTAAAATTTCTGATTTTTTTATAAATTGAACAGTTTTTGAAAATTATGAAAAAAATATAGAAATACCAAATATTTTTAATATGTATTTTATCCAAAAAAACGTGAACAAAATTCTCAAATTCCATACCAAAAAAGTGTGCACAATTTTCGAAAACTTGAACAAACTTCAAAGTTCCGGACAATTTTTGAAAAGTGAACAAATTTTGGAAAACATCAACAATATATTTAAATTCTAAACAATTTTTAAAAAAATTAACAAAATTGGAAAAAAAAATGAACACATTTTGAAAACGTGAACAAAACTTCGAAGTTCTGTACAAAATATTGAACAGTTTTTGAAAATGTGAAGAAATTTCAAATTTTGGAACACTTCTGGAAAATGTGAATAAATTTTGAACAAACTGAACAAATTAATAAAAACATGAACAAAATATTGAAATTCTGAACATTTTTTGAAAAACATGAATACAAATTTGGAACCCAAACATTTTTATTTAAAAGAGAAGCAATTTCAAAGTTTATATTTTTTTATGAAAATTTTGAAGTTACAAAAAACCCACAAAAGAAACAGGAAAAACGAATAAAATAATAAAAATAATAAAATAATAAAAGAAGGAAGAAAAAACCCGGTTCAGAAAAAAAACTACGATTGCCACTGGGTCAGTCCACTAGATGCTATATAGCATTTTTGGCCTATTGCAGTCAAATAGATAGCCAAATACACCGGAGGTCATCGTTGTACGCCAGATTAGATCGTTTTTCTCTAGTCCCTAGTGGCTGGAACCCTAGTCGTCGTCAGGAGGGGTCATCTTTCAGCGCCGTCCTCCGACGGCTCCCCTCTGCCGGCAACCTCGGTTGTTGATGGTGAGGGGATCGCCGGATCCACGCGTGTGGATCGTTTTTACTCCCTTGTTTAGGTTTTTAGGTTGTTCATCGTCTTGGCTTCGACGACAACGATGATGGTGCTGAATAAAGATTTTTCGGATCCTTTCCTAATGAGGCCATCGGTCCTATGGTTGGGGATGGATTTGAAAACCAATCTGTTCAACTAAGGATGGCGTAGCGGCGACGACATCCTCGTGGTGGACATGTGTTCTCGGGTTCCGCCGTTGTGACGGCGTTTTCTCCAGCGTTGGCGCGGAGTTTGGGAGGTAGTCCAGGAGCGGATGCAGATTGTGATCTGCATCGACAACATATGGAAGACGGAACGTGTGCTGGCTTCATGGTTCGTGGATGTCAGGTATGGTTTCCTCCTTCGGTGTCTTAGTCATGGTGGGGTGTCAAATCTGGAGTTCGATGACGTGTCTGGGGTTTTGACCCAGTCTGATTCGCTCAATGGCAATGGCTTCACTTTTGGTGATGGCTTCACTTTTGGTGAGCCACCTTGAAGGTCCGCAAAACTGCATATCAGCGATGAAGCCGCATCGAGCTCGGGTCGTCGAGCTCGGGTGAGGAGGTGATCCATCATTCTTTTCTTCAGTGGTGCTGGAGACAGGTGACGGGCGTTGGTGTCAAATGCGGAGATGTTCTGCTATCTTTTCAGTTTTAACATACCGACCTTTACATGACGTGTACTTTGTTCTTATGAATGAGACATGTATTACCATATAAAAAGAAATACATTGGAGGTCCCCGCATAGACAAACCAATCCACGAGGCCCTGCAACAAGCACACACTGCAGCAACCTAGGTATTGGGTCTGATTTTCCTTTATAGCATTTTTTCAGTCGGTTTCAACATTCATGGATTATTTTTTAACATAAACACGTTTTACAAAGTGTAAGCATTTTTCATAATGTTGCGAACATTTTTTTGAAACAGTTAATTATTTTAATTAAAAAATTCTATTTTCATTTTTTCTTTTGTGAACCTATTTTTGGAAATTTATATTGTTTTCAAATCTGAGAACATTTTTAAAAGTATGAAAACTGTTTAAAAGCAATTTTTTTGCCAATCCAAATATTTTATTAATTTGAGGAACATTTTCTCTACTGTATAAACTTTTTCTGAAACTTTGAACCTTTTTAAATGCGGAAAGCATCTGAAATTTTTAATCATTTTTTAAAACTTTGCAAAACAAGATCATATTCTTGAAATTTCTGAAAAAAAGGGAAAAAAGACATATGAAA